CCTCCCCACAAATTCCTAACTCACTTCCACCACTTCCTCTGTTTAGTCTTAATTTATGTTTCCTCTCTCTCTCTCGTCACCTCCTTCCTCACTTTAATTACCCCTCCCTCACTGACGAGAGAGAGAGAGAGAGAGAGAGAGAGAGAGAGAGAGAGAGAGAGAGAGAGAGAGAGAGAGAGAGAGAGAGAGAGAGGAGAGGGGGAACAAACTGTCAACAGGGGCACATCACCAGGGTCTAAAAAAGAATTAAACATAGTGAATTACGTTGTGACATAATGTGTGTAGAGCGTCAGTGTACAGTCACAAATATTGGTGACAGTCACACGTGTTGCTTGTTATGATTTTATTGGTAATTTGTATTGTTCCTGTTTCTTGTGGACTCGCCTTGTTGTGCTTGCGGGGGTTGAGCTCTGGCTCTTTGGTCCCGCCTCTCAACTGTCAATCAACTGATGTACAGATTCCCGAGCCTACTGAGCTCTATCATATCTACATTTGAAACTGTGTATGGAGTCAGCCTCCACCACATCACTGCCTAATGCATTCCATCTGTTAATTACTCTGACACTGAAAAAGTTCTTGCTAACGTCCCTGTGGCTCATGTGGGTACTCAGTTTTGACTTGTGGCCCCCTTCTTCGCGTATAATATCCATATTAAATAATGTCTTTTATCTACGGTATCAGTTTCCCTGATAATTTTGTATGTGGCGATCATGTCTCCAGTAACTCTTGTCTTCTAGTCACCAGAGGTTTAATTCCAGTAGTCTTACCTCGTAACTCATATTTCCTCAACTCTGGTTGTAGTCTAGTGGCATGCCTTTGAACCTTCTCCAACTTCATCTTTGTGTGTGCGTGCGTGCGTGCGTGCGTGTGAGCGTGCGTGCATGCGTGTGTATATCCGTGTGTGTGTGTATTTACACCTATTATCTCCCGCCAAAGACACGACGGAACTACAACGTTGCTACACTGTTCGACAAGTTGTAACACCCATCTGAGAAGTTGCCACAACTTTCTAACACATGGTAAACACTTCACAACAAGATGTAGCAACTTTGTAACAAGTTGTAACACAACATTAATAGTGAGCGTGACGTCGTGTGTGTGTTTGCAGGTATATACGTCAGCTTGGAAGGTGACCGTGTCGAACATTTATATGCATATATCATATATTATAAATATGCAAGTGATGAAGAGTGTGTAGAGTACTCATGTCGTGATCACGTCCCCCGTACCCTGCAGGAACTGCTTTCCCGTCTACACTGTCTTCATCTAAAGCTGCTCCTCCTCGTCCCATTCTGGGCCAGGTGTTCTCCTGTCTCCTCCCTCACACTCAAGTCCTCACCGGTCTTCCTCATCGTCTCCCCTCACTGTTTCCCTCCCCTCCCACGCACGCACTTCTCTCACCCCTCGGTGCGACTGTGTAATCACTAGCATCATCATATCTCTCTCTCTCTCTCTCTCTCTCTCTCTCTCTCTCTCTCTCTCTCTCTCTCTCTCTCTCTCTCTCTCTCTCTCTCTCTCTCTCTCTCTCTCTCTCTCTCGTTCTCTCTGAGTCTCTCTGTGTCTCTGTCTCTCTGCTCTGTGTGTACTCACCTAATTGTACTCACCTAATTGTGCTTGCGGGGGTTGAGCTTTGGCTCTTTGGTCCCGCCTCTCAACTGTCAATCAACTGGTGTACAGATTCCTGAGCCTACTGGGCTCTATCATATCTACATTTGAAACTGTGTATGGAGTCAGCCTCCACCACATCACTGCCTAGTGCATTCCATTTATTAACTACTCTGACACTGAAAAAATTCTTTATAACGTCTCTGTGGCTCATCTGGGTACTAAGTTTCCACCTGTGTCCCCTTGTTCGTGTCCCACCTGTGCTGAAGAGTTTGTCTTTGTCCACCCTGTCAATTCCCCTGAGAATTTTGTAGGTGGTTATCATGTCTCCCCTTACTCTTCTGTTTTCCAGGGATGTGAGGTTCAGCTCCTTTAGCCTTTCCTCGTAGCTCAATCCTATCCTCAATCAATCCTCAATCCAATGTGTGTGTGTGTGTGTGTGTGTGTGTGTGTGTGTGTGTGTGTGTGTGTGTGTGTGTGTGTGTGTGTGTGTGTGTGTGTGGTGCTCTCCCACTGTGGTCTGGGTGTCGGGTTCTCATTATCATAACAATGTTACCACTGTGACAAACAAGTAACTATGTCTTCAGTGTGTGCCACTACACTCCTCTCAACTTTCTTCCCCGCACCACTCTCCCCCCCTCCTCCTCACCACAACCCACCGCCCACCCTTACCACAACCCACAGCCCCCTACCCACAACCAGCGTAACAACCACTCCCAGGTTGCTGTGTACCAGTCAAGTCTGAGCTACAGGGACACGTAATGCTATGAGAGAGGGAGGGAGGGAGAGACGGAGGGAGGGAGGGAGGGAGGGAGGGAGGGAGGGAGAGAGGGAGAGAGGGAGGGAGGCAGGGAGAGAGGGAGAGAGGGAGAGAGGGAGGGAGAGAGGGAGAGAGGGAGGGAGAGAGAGGAGAGAGGGAGGGAGGGAGGGTGGGTTTGGGGGGAAGATGCAATATTGGTGTGCGTGAAGCAAGGTATGAACAACACTACAAGAGTGGAGGCCAGCAACAAAGACAGTAATGGTAACCTCCACTAACGTGTAACCACACATCCTGAGTCACTAACTACACATGTCCATGATTACAAAAAATAATACATTATTCTGCCCCTTTAAAGATGATGGTATTAATTGTAGCTTCAAGACACTAGTTCACCACTTCTCAAGTGTATCTTAATGAATTGTAGTGTTAAATCAGTATTCAAATTTCTTAATGTAATATAAGGACAATATTCAGTATGCGCCTAACTGGCGACACAAAGTTACTGTTGACCTCTGCTGAAGTGGCGAGTGGAAATAGGAATTGTCATCAGCAGTTCCGCAGACCACCTTAGAGCAGGACTCTGTAGACACAGTGTATCCTGCGTGTTAGTTCTTCCCGCCGTAGTGAGCACCCAGCTTGGTGCACCACGTGTCCTGCTCACCTCTCTTCACACCCACACACTGGCCGCCCACACACTGGTCCCCCACACTGACCAAGGCCCCACTCTGGAGGGTGACAGGGGGTGGGATCGGTGAGGACGTGTTAAGGGGCAGCCCCCCAGGGGCAGGTGGCTGCTCCCACAGGTCCTCACCCCCAGCCAGCATCTCCTGGCTAACTGTTGTTGTAAACAGTTCATATGACACACTGCCAGGCTCTTGGCTCCTGTGTCACTCCTCCTGTGTCGCCTCCACTCTCTCCACCTTTCACTTCTTAAAGGTTCACAATCACACAACTTAACCAAATCTTGGGTAGCAGTATGTGTTGCCTGGGCGGGGGGGGGGGGGGGCACTGGGCGCCATGTTGCCTGGACGGGGGGCACTGGGCGCCATGTTGCTGGGCGGGGGCACTGGGCGGGGGGCACTGGGCACCGTGTTGCCTGGGCGGGGGGCATGGGCGCCGTGTTGCCTGGGCGGGGGCACTGGGCGCCGTGTTGCCTGGGCGGGGGCACTGGGCGCCGTGTTGCCTGGGCGGGGGGCACTGGGCGCCGTGTTGCCTGGGCGGGGGGCACTGGGCGCCGTGTTGCCTGGGCGGGGGCACTGGGCGCCATGTTGCCTGGGGCGGGGGGGGGGGCACTGGGCGCCGTGTTGCCTGGGCGGGGGGCACTGGGCACCGTGTTGCCTGGGCGGGGGCACTGGGCGCCATGTTGCCTGGGCGGGGGCACTGGGCACCGTGTTGCCTGGGGGGGGGGGCACTGGGCGCCGTGTTGCCTGGGCGGGGGGCACTGGGCGCCGTGTTGCCTGGGCGGGGGGGGGGCACTGGGCGCCGTGTTGCCTGGGCGGGGGCACTGGGCGCCGTGTTGCCTGGGCGGGGGGGGGGGGCACTGGGCGCCGTGTTGCCTGGGCGGGGGCACTGGGCGCCGTGTTGCCTGGGCGGGAGGGGGCACTGGGCGCCGTGTTGCCTGGGCGGGGGGGGGGGGGGCACTGGGCGCCGTGTTGCCTGGGCGGGGAGCACTGGGCGCCGTGTTGCCTGGGCGGGGGCACTGGGCGCCGTGTTGCCTGGGCGGGGGCACTGGGCGCCGTGTTGCCTGGGCGGGGGCACTGGGCGCCGTGTTGCCTGGGCGGGGGCACTGGGCGCCGTGTTGCCTGGGCGGGGGCACTGGGCGCCGTGTTGCCTGGGCGGGGGCACTGGGCGCCGTGTTGCCTGGGCCACTGGGCGCCGTGTTGCCTGGGAGGGGGCACTGGGCGCCGTGTTGCCTGGGCGGGGGGGGCACTGGGCGCCGTGTTGCCTGGGCGGGGGCACTGGGCGCCGTGTTGCCTGGGCGGGGGCACTGGGCGCCGTGTTGCCTGGGCGGGGGGCACTGGGCGCCGTGTTGCCTGGGCGGGGGCACTGGGCGCCGTGTTGCCTGGGCGGGGGGAACTAGGTGCCAGGAGAGTGCCACCTCAACATTTCCTCCAGACGCCACAAAACTCAACATTAAGGTCACGGGTTTCCATAAATAATTATAATTGAACTGTTGAGGCGTTTGTTCTCACTTGACACTATGTTAGCACTTTGTCCTCAGGTGTAGGAATGGTGGCAAATGGTTACCACCACCATCACAACAGCTACCACAACCACAACCACCACCACCACCACCAGACCAGCTACCACAACCAGCACCACCATAGCAACTCTCCACAACACCACATGTCGCTGCTCCGGCCAGGGTGGAGAGAGAGAGAGGGCACAACCTTGATCACATTAGTCAATATGGTGTCTCACTGTTTATGTCCCACTCCCCCTCACCCCCCTCACTCCCCCTCACTCCCCCTCACTCCCCTCACTCCCCTCACTCCCCTCACTCCCCCTCACTCCCCCACACTCCCCCACACTCCCTCACTCCCCCACACTCCCTCACTCCCCCACACTCCCTCACTCCCCCTCACTCTCCCTCACTCCCCCTCACTCCCCCTCACTCCCCCTCACTCCCCCTCACTCCCCCTCACGCCCCCTCGGACGCTGATCTTCCCCTCATTATCATCCCATTACCGACCAAATCCTAATTGAAACACAGCCCAATCTCGGCTTTCCGCCCGGCCCCACATTTCTCATCTGGCTGTGAGGGAGCGTTTTGTAGGAGGCTCCCAGGAGGTGTGAGAAAGATCTGGGTAGTGGTGGTTGTCTGGTGGTAGTGGTGGTTGTCTGGTGGTAGTGGTGGTTGTCTGGTGGTAGTGGTGGTTGTCTGGTGGTAGTGGTGGTTGTCTGGTGGTAGTGGTGGTTGTCTGGTGGTAGTGGTGGTTGTCAGGTGGTAGTGGTGGTTGTCTGGTGGTAGTGGTGGTTGTCTGGTGGTAGTGGTGGTTGTCTGGTGGTAGTGGTGGTTGTCAGGTGGTAGTGGTGGTTGTCTGGTGGTAGTGGTGGTTGTCTGGTGGTAGTGGTGGTTGTCTGGTGGTAGTGGTGGTTGTCTGGTGGTAGTGGTGGTTGTTGGTGGTAGTGGTGGTTGTTCAGGTGGTAGTGGTGGTTGTCTGGTGGTAGTGGTGGTTGTCTGGTGGTAGTGGTGGTTGTCTGGTGGTAGTGGTTGTTGTTGGTGGTGGTAGTGGTGGTGGTTGTCTGGTGGTAGTGGTGGTTGTCTGGTAGTGGTAGTGGTAGGGTGGTTGTCTGGTGGTGGTAGTGGTGGTTGTCAGGTGGTGGTGGTGGTTGTCAGGTGGTAGTGGTGGTTGTCTGGTGGTAGTGGTGGTTGTCTGGTGGTAGTGGTGGTTGTCTGGTGGTAGTGGTGGTTGTCTGGTGGTAGTGGTGGTTGTCTGGTGGTAGTGGTGGTTGTCTGGTGGTAGTGGTGGTTGTCTGGTGGTAGTGGTGGTTGTCTGGTGGTAGTGGTGGTTGTCTGGTGGTAGTGGTGGTTGTCTGGTGGTAGTGGTGGTTGTCTGGTGGTAGTGGGTTGGGTGGTTGTTGTCTGGGTGGTAGTGGTGGTTGTCTGGTGGTAGTGGTGGTTGTGGTGGTTGTGGTGGTAGTGGTGGTTGTCTAGTGGTGGTAGTGGTGGTTGTGGTGGTAGTGGTGGTGTCTGGTGGTAGTGGTGGTTGTGGTGGTATGGTGGTAGTGGTGGTTGTTTATGGTGGTAGTGGTGGTTGGTAGTGGTGGTTGTCTGGTGGTAGTGGTGGTTGTCTGGTGGTAGTGGTGGTTGTCTATGGTGGTAGTGGTGGTTGTTTATGGTGGTAGTGGTGGTTGTTTGGTGGTAGTGGTGGTTGTCTGGTAGTAGTGGTGGTTGTCTGGTGGTAGTGGTGGTTGTTTATGGTGGTAGTGGTGGTTGTTTATGGTGGTAGTGGTGGTTGTCTATGGTGGTAGTGGTGGTTGTCTGGTGGTAGTGGTGGTTGTCTATGGTGGTAGTGGTGGTTGTTTATGGTGGTAGTGGTGGTTGTCTGGTGGTAGTGGTGGTTGTCTGGTGGTAGTGGTGGTTGTCTGGTGGTAGTGGTGGTTGTTTGGTGGTAGTGGTGGTTGTCTGGTGGTAGTGGTGGTTGTCTGGTGGTAGTGGTTGGTTGTTTGGTGGTAGTGGTGGTTGTCTGGTGGTAGTGGTGGTTGTCAGGTGGTAGTGGTGGTTGTCTGGTGGTAGTGGTGGTTGTCTGGTGGTAGTGGTGGTGGTTGTCTGGTGGTAGTGGTGGTTGTTTATGGTGGTAGTGGTGGTTGTCAGGTGGTAGTGGTAGTGGTGGTTGTTTATGGTGGTAGTGGTGGTTGTCTGGTGGTAGTGGTGGTTGTCAGGTGGTAGTGGTGGTTGTCTGGTGGTAGTGGTGGTTGTCAGGTGGTAGTGGTGGTTGTCTGGTGGTAGTGGTGGTTGTTTATGGTGGTAGTGGTGGTTGTTGTATGGTGGTAGTGGTAGTGGTGGTTGTCAGGTGGTGGTAGTGGTGGTTGTCAGGTGGTAGTGGTGGTTGTCTGGTGGTAGTGGTGGTTGTCAGGTGGTAGTGGTGGTTGTTTATGGTGGTAGTGGTGGTTGTTTATGGTGGTAGTGGTGGTTGTTGTCTGGTGGTAGTGGTGGTTGTCAGGTGGTAGTGGTGGTTGTCTGGTGGTAGTGGTGGTAGGTGGTGGGTGTTGTCTGGTGGTAGTGGTGGTTGTTATGGTGGTAGTGGTGGTTGTCTGGTGGTAGTGGTGGTTGGTAGTGGTGGTTGTCTGGGTGGTAGTGGTGGTTGTTTCTGGTGGTAGTGGTGGTTGTCAGGTGGTAGTGGTGGTTGTCTGGTAGTGGTGGTTGTCTATGGTGGTAGTGGTGGTTGTCTGGTGGTAGTGGTGGTAGTGGTGGTTGTTTCTGGTGGTAGTGGTGGTTGTTATGGTGGTAGTGGTGGTTGTTTGGTGGTGGTAGTGGTGGTTGTTAGGTGGTAGTGGTGGTTGTCTATGGTGGTAGTGGTGGTTGTTTGGTAGTGGTGGTTGTCTGGTGGTAGTGGTGGTTGTCTGGTGGTAGTGGTAGTGGTGGTAGTGGTATGGTGGTAGTGGTGGTTGTTTATGGTGGTAGTGGTGGTTGTTTATGGTGGTAGTGGTGGTTGTCTGGTGGTAGTGGTGGTTGTCTGGTGGTAGTGGTTGGTTGTTAGGTGGTAGTGGTGGTTGTCTGGTGGTAGTGGTGGTAGTGGTGGTAGTGGTGGTTGTCTGGTGGTAGTGGTGGTTGTTAGGTGGTAGTGGTGGTTGTCTGGTGGTAGTGGTGGTTGTCTGGTGGTAGTGGTTGGTTGTATGGTGGTAGTGGTGGTTGTCTGGTGGTAGTGGTGGTTGTTTATGGTGGTAGTGGTGGTTGTTTAGTGGTGGTAGTGGTGGTTGTTTGGTGGTAGTGGTGGTTGTTTGGTGGTAGTGGTGGTTGTCTGGTGGTAGTGGTGGTTGTTTATGGTGGTGGTAGGGTGGTTGTTTATGGTGGTAGTGGTGGTTGTCTGGTGGTAGTGGTGGTTGTTAGGTGGTAGTGGTGGTTGTTTGGTGGTAGTGGTGGTTGTTATGGTGGTAGTGGTGGTTGTCTGGTGGTAGTGGTGGTTGTCTGGTGGTAGAATGGTGGTGTCTGGTGGTAGTGGTGGTTGTCTGGTGGTAGTGGTGGTTGTGGTGTGGTAGTGGTGGTTGTGGTGGTGGTTGTTGTCTGGTGGTAGTGGTGGTTGTCTGGTGGTAGTGGTGGTTGTTTGGTGGTGGTAGTGGTGGTTGTTTATGGTGGTAGTGGTGGTTGTTTATGGTGGTAGTGGTGGTTGTCTGGTGGTAGTGGTGGTTGTCAGGTGGTAGTGGTGGTTGTCTGGTGGTAGTGGTGGTTGTCTGGTGGTGGTAGTGGTGGTTGGTGGTGGTAGTGGTGGTTGTCTGGTGGTAGTGGTGGTTGTCAGGTGGTAGTGGTGGTTGTTTATGGTGGTAGTGGTTGTGGTGTCTGGTGGTAGTGGTGGTTGTGGTGGTGGTAGTGGTGGTTGTCAGGTGGTAGTGGTGGTAGTGGTGGTTGTGGTGGTGGTAGTGGTGGTTGTCTGGTGGTAGTGGTGGTTGTCTGGTGGTAGTGGTGGTTGTGGTGGTGGTAGTGGTGGTTGTTGTCTGGTGGTGGTGGTAGTGGTGGTAGTGGTTGTTTGGTGGTAGTGGTGGTTGTCTGGTGGTAGTGGTGGTTGTTAGGTGGTAGTGGTGGTTGTCTGGTGGTAGTGGTGGTTGTCTGGTGGTAGTGGTGGTTGTCTGGTGGTAGTGGTGGTTGTCTGGTGGTAGTGGTGGTTGTGGTGGTAGTGGTAGTGGTGGTTGGTGGTTGTCTGGTGGTAGTGGTGGTTGTTTATGGTGGTAGTGGTGGTTGTGGTGGTGGTAGTGGTGGTTGTTTATGGTGGTAGTGGTGGTTGTGGTGGTGGTAGTGGTGGTTGTTTATGGTGGTAGTGGTGGTTGTTTGGTGGTGGTAGTGGTTGTGGTGGTGGTAGTGGTGGTTGTCATGGTGGTAGTGGTGGTTGTCTGGTGGTAGTGGTGGTTGTTTGGTGGTAGTGGTGGTTGTTTGGTGGTAGTGGGTGGTGGTGTTTGGTGGTAGTGGTGGTTGTATGGTGGTAGTGGTGGTTGTGGTGCTGGTAGTGGTGGTTGTGGTTATGGTGGTAGTGGTGGTTGTTTGGTGGTAGTGGTGGTGGTTGTGGTGGTGGTAGTGGTGGTTGTTGGTATGGTGGTAGTGGTGGTTGTTTATGGTGGTAGTGGGTGGTTGTTTTTGGTGGTAGTGGTGGTTGTTTGGTGGTAGTGGTGGTTGTGGTGGTGGTAGTGGTGGTTGTGGTGGTGGTAGTGGTGGTTGTTTGGTGGTAGTGGTGGTTGTTTATGGTGGTAGTGGTGGTTGTGGTGGTGGTAGTGGTGGTTGTTTGGTGGTAGTGGTGGTTGTTTGGTGGTAGTGGTGGTTGTTTGGTGGTAGTGGTGGTTGTTTATGGTGGTAGTGGTGGTTGTCTGGTGGTAGTGGTGGTTGTTTAGGTGGTAGTGGTGGTTGGTGGTGTGGTGGGTCGGTGGTAGGTGGTGTGGTGGTTGTTTAGGTGGTAGTGGTGGTTGTTTGGTGGTAGTTGTCTG